AGCTGGGGGCATCAAAGAAGTGGGCTCAGGTGTGAGGGCCCCAGGAATCACCAACAGATCTGGGGACACTGGGGTCACAGGCCGGAATAGTGAAGGGTTTGGTGGCTTTCTTTCAATTATGTGAAGGAAGGCCACCACAGATGGGTTGAGCCTGAGGTGGGTGTCCCTTCTGACCTGGCCTCTGTGCAGTAAGGGAAACTGCTAACATGGGCCCAGAGGATTCCCACACTACAGACGGTGGGCTCGGCACTCTGCAGGGCCTGTGCACAATAGGAACCCAAGAAAGACCCCACCAAAAATGGTGACCTTGAACTATCACCACTTAACAAGTGAGGACAGGTGTGGTACAGGGCAGGCCCAGTGTTTTGAGAAAATAGGACATGCCAGAGGCTCGGGTTCTCTGAGGGGCACGTCAGTACTCAGCATGTGAGGAGGCAAGAGCTGTGAAAGGGTATGGACCATTGCAGGAGAATGATGGATGTGTGTTTAACTTCTCCTGGCTTTCCCTTGGAGGTTCCAGAGGCTGGCTGACAGCTGTGGCTGGCATAGGCCCATGAGAGACAGCGTGAGCTCATCGTAGCCATTGGCTATAGGGCTGTGAGATCCACTCTGGGTTCCTAATCTCATGTCTGAGGGTTCATACATCCACTGGGCATGTGTGCATGTTTAGATGATATTGCTTGGTGTAGGAGCGAGAAGACAGGATTTGGAATGGAACAGGGAGATGGATGTTCAGGCCCAGCTCTCTGCTCCTAGTGCTGGGACTTTGACCATGTGTCCCCATGCCAGACAATCTGATTCACAGGTCACTGTAACAGTCAATGAGATCACAGAGGTAAAGGGCTCACACTGGGTTTGTGACAATTGCGTATTTATTCCATAAACACTCAGGGCCTGCTTGGCCAGGGGTGAGATCAGCAGGGAAGTTGCTGGCCAGACATCCCTTATGGATCTTATTGATGAGGCCAGCAGCAAGCTCAGCCGTGTGATTTTAGCTTCTTATACTTGAAACAGAGACGGTATTGGACATTCTGAGTTAGGGCAGGCTGACAGTGTGCAAGATGTGTTCCACGGTGTTTGTGAGGCTATGTGTGTGTCAAGTGCCTACAGGCGTGACAGAAGGGGCCACCTTGTGGCCTGAGGGTAACAGGCCAGGCCAATATAATGCTGAGGTCAGAGTTCAGTCTAGAAAATCTGCCACACACAGCCTCATGCTGGGGAAACCATGGAAACTTGGTGTGACTTCTCTGGTGCTTTGTGGCTGTGAAATGAGTCACTGGAACCATTTTCCTACCGTAAGCTCCATGATCTGTGCATCACCCAGGCATATCTGGTGGACTTTGTTCTAAAGGCTACTCTCAGCCATGCAATAAATGTGCTTACACCAATGGTTGGGTTTCCATACAATGTGGCTGCGTTGCTATGGGCTCCTGGTCTGAGCCAGGGCATGATTCCCCTATAATCAGGCCAGACATGGGCACAAAACAAAGAAAAGGGGAAGGAGAGAGTCAGTTTTCCATGATGACTCCTAGATGGGCAAAATTTCACCCTGAGAACACCTAGAAAGATGAGTGGCCATGTAACATGGGGAGGTGGACCACTGTCTTCTCAGGAAAACAGACTATCCACTCTCTAGGGTGACAGGCTCACCCACTCTGACGAGCTACTCTCTCAGCCTCTGACCTCAATCTGGAACAGTGTTTCTAGAACATTCCAAAAAAGAAGGAGCAGGCAGAGGGGTTGTAGGAAGAGTAGAGATGAGTTCAGTTGGTTGAGGCTACCTGGAAAAAGCTGCCAGGAGGTGGTCATGGGCTCAAAGGCCAGGACACCTTGGGCAGAAGGTTGTTGAGGAAGAAGAGGTCAGGAGGTCTTGGGGACCCTGGAGTGGTCCTTCACTGTGGAACTCTGGAAGCACTGTGGCCCTGTGTGGGTGTGGTGAAGGCAAAAGAGGCTGAGCTCATCTCCGCCACTGGGGAATGTTAGGAGCATTAGGGAATGGTTAGGGCCCAGAGCCGCACCAGCCCCAAATAACACACACAGAAACATTGTATTAGATATAAAGCTGGTGGCCAGTTACTAATAATTTTTATTGGCTGGCTCTGTCTTAAATATTGACCCATTTCTATTAATCTAAGTATTTTTACAAAGTCTTATCTTACCAGAGAGAGGGCCTGGTATTTTTCTCTCAGTCCTACAGTTTGAATCTCCTCCCTACTACTCCCTCTCTCCTTCTTGTCTCCTAGTCCCGCCTATCTTGCTTTCCTATTGGCCAACAGTGTTTTATTCATTAACCAATAAGAGAAACATTTACAGAATGACATCTCTTTTGGCTCTGGGATCAGGCTGGCGGGGAAAACCTGCTTATAACAGGGGAAAATTGTTTCCATAGCAACCACCCCTTTCTAAAGATGACTGCTCCTCCTTTTATCTGAGTGGGATGCTCCCACTTGCTGTGTGGGATGGACCACTGGGCCATGCCACCTCAGGGAAGAAGAGGGTCTGGAGCTGAATAATATGTCCTGTGATTGACTGCTTCCATGATTTTGTCGACCACTTATCCTGGATAACGGAAGCTCTGACTCAAATCCCTTTGATCTAATTAAAATAATCAGGGAGTCCAATGGTCTAAATTGGCCTTCTCTTAGGCCTACATGCCTTCTGAGCCCCAGCTTCATCAGTTTAAACACCAGAACATACCGTTTTAGATGTATGCTGCATCTCGCTCATGACTGTATCCTTAGTACCAAGTGGGACTCCAGGTGCATCCAGGTGTAAAAGCCTCTCTTGGCCCAACAGTACCCTCACTTCCTTCAGGATTGTCCATGTGTGACACTGGCAGTGCTGTGGGTCTTCATGGCCGTGATGATGGTGACCTGCTGTGCCGTCCAGCTCTCCCACCCTAGACAGGAGCTTAAGGGAGAGAAGGTGTCCCTGTGTCATCTTCAAGTCTCCCGTGTTCACCCAAAGCTTTCCCACTGTTTATTGTCCTTTCGTATTCTTCACACAGATCCCCCACACAGGGAATTGTAAATCTAGGTGTTTATTTTAAAATTTATTACTTTTTAATTTATTTAGTGGAGTGTGTGCGTGTGCACACGCGCATGTGTGTGCTCATGCTCTGTGTGTGTGTGTGTGTGTGTGTGTGTGTGTGTGTGTGCGCACGCGTGCTCATGCCATGGAACTAGGTGAAACTCAGGGGACAACTTTCCAGAGTCTTTTCTTGCCTTCTACCATGTGGGTCCCATCCCAGGGATTGAAAAGGTCAGCAGGTCTGGCAGCAGTCACCTTTACCCACTGAGCCATCTCACCGGCCCAATTCCAGATTCTTACTTTTGCCTCTGTGCTACACCTATCAGTAGAATACATTTAAGGTAATTTAACTAGTTAGTAGTTGATGAAAATACTACACACTTCAGTTTGCATTTGTGTGTGTGTGTGTGTGTGAGAGAGAGAGAGAGAGGGAGGTCTGCAATAAAGGTGACTATGAAATCAGAAGAGGGCATCAGATCCAGTTGGAGCTGGAGTTATAGACAGTTGTGAGCCATCTGAGGTGGGTGATGGAAACAGAACTTGGGTCCTCTGGAAGAGCAGTGCACTCTTTAAAGTGCTGAGTCACCCTGCCAGTGTGTGTGTGTGTGTGTGTGTGTGTGTGTGTGTGATATATATTACACACACACACACATATATACATATATACACATATACACATATATACATACACTCTCTATGTGTAATATAGCTATATGTGTATCATATAGACTATATATACTCTGTTTATGTAATATATCTATATACAGTATATCGGTATCTATGTCTATAGACAGACACTCACAACAGCCTCCAGCTCCAGAGGGTTCGGCACCCTCTTCTGGACTCTGTAGACATACATATGCACTCACATGTATATATCCACAGATAGACACATATACCCTAATTTGCTGGGCATCGTAACACATACCTTTAGTTCCAGCTCCTAGGTGGACCGATGTGAGTCTGAGGCCAGCCTGGTCTACATATTGAGTTCCAGAACATCCAGGGTCTACATAGAGACCCTGTCTTGAAAAAAATAAACAAAATAAAATAAATGATAGAAAGGGGCCCACAGGAGACCATGTAGGGGTGTGGCCCAGAAGTAGAAAACTTGCCTAGCATATTTAAGGACCTGGGTTCTAGCCCCAGTGCTGAAAACATAAATGTTACATATAGCAAAATGCAGCGATCATATTACACCCTGCTGTTCTGAGGATGAAACAGGCCTGGTCAGGCATGGTGGTATACCTCAGGAGACCGAAGCATGACCAAGAGTTCAAGGCCAGCCTGGTAAGGAGAACTTGTCTCTAAATCAACAATGAAGTAAAGGAAGGAGGGAGGGAGGGAGGCAGCAGTACCCAGAAGCCCCCTTGCTCCCCACATGGCTGTAGCAGCTCAGGTAGTCCTGCTGTTCCGGGGGCCTTAGGGTGTAAACAGGACTCAGGTGTCAGGCGCTTCACGCTTGGTTTTCCTCTGTGAACTGCAGTCCAGGCCTTTGATTCTCAGATCAACCACACCAGTGTGGGCAGAGGAGTTTGAGGGTCCTGTTTCTGCTGGGACAAAGGTCTCCTAACCAGTTACTTATTTTAGAGTCACAAATCCAAAATCTTCTGGGGAGAGAGGTGACCTCAGCAGGGTTGTGTTCCTCCGGGTCACTCTGGTGGTGTCAGGCCAGCCAGAGAATCTGATTCCATTTTCTTTTCTGGAAAACAGGGGTAGTGACCCCCTCCTCTGTCCAGGACTTTAAATAAGACAAACCTTGGAAAGCTTCACCGGGAGAGGGCGGTGTGCATCACCGGGAGAGGGTGGTGTCATAGTGACGGGAGGCGCATGAGTGCAGGTGGGCATGGGTCAGTCTTCAGCTGAGATCTCCTGAGGGAGCTGTTTGTTTTGGTTGTAGCCCAGTGGAGACCCCAAGGGGACAGAGGAAGCCTCCTGCAGATAAGAGAGCCCAGTCCTTGGACCGGCAGGTTCCCAGGAAGGACTCTGAGTCCTTGAACTCCAAGTACCCCTCCGGGCCCACCTACAAGAAGGTGCTTCGCCGGACAGCCAGTGATGGGGCCAGAGACTCTGGGAGCCCATCTCACTTTGCAGAGGCCCAGGGAGCTGTGGCCGCAGCCCTCCCTCTGGGAGAGGGGAGCAAACTTCTTCCCTGTGAGCAGGGGCCCCCAGAAGACACCAAGAAGGAGAAGCCCCCGAAGCAAACCCAGCAGAGCTGGGCCAGTATGTTGCTGAATATTTTTTCCCTGAGGACGGGTCAAGAGGAACCTAGAGAAAAGGCAAGCAGGAAGTCAAAGGGGAAAGGGCAGACCAGCAAGTTCCCAGAGGCAAGGGAGGAGCCAGGCCTCAGGAAGAAATCCCAGGAGAAGAAGACCGGCCGCAAGAAGCATGGTCACAGGAAGCCTGGGGCTGAGGAGCCCACAGGGCCCCAGAGCTCAGAGGCAGACGGCCAAGAAGACACACTGCCCAGCTTGGCTGCCTCACAGTCCGAGGAAGCAGGCCCGGGGCTGATCTGCAGGGGTGAGCAGACTAGGGTAACCCACTGTCCCACCCCAAGGACCAGGGTGCCCTAAGTTTGTCTACTAAATGTCCTCAACCAAGATCAGGTGTGGACAGTGGGGGACATTTCTGAGGTTGAACAGCAGAGCACTTGAGATCAATCCATCAGGGGTGCTACCATTCCACATGCTGTGTGGCTTAGGGCTGGTGACTCCCCTCTGGGCCTTAATGTGCCCCCTCCCATTTACAAAAATAGTTGCTGTCTCATGGGTCAACACAGCTCACACAAAAACAAGTGTTTGGCATGGGTACACACTAACTGGTATCAGTGCAATGAGATTTGGGGAGAGTTGGAAGCAGCTGACCCCCACCCCCTACACACACACACACAGTGGCCTATGGTGCTTGCCAGATGCTCTGCTAGACCCTGCCCTGTTGAGAACAAATCTGCTGTGATGGTTTCTGTAATCACTGCCTCTGGAGGGTTTGATTCCTCCTTGGTAGAAGGAGCGAGCAGGTGTCCAGGGGTCCAGGCATCCCTAAAGTTGGGGGTATGAAGTGAAGTCTCCTCCACTCCCAGAGACCGCAGCTGTGTGCTGGAGCCACACTATAGCCACACTGTGACTCTGATGGGAAGGAGGCTCCATGGAGAGCTTGTGGGAGGGGAGCATAGCCTGAGACATCCCCCTTTTCACTGGGAAATCCTGGCCAGTTTCTGATTTGGGGTGAGGCTTGGGGGTTGCTGCTGCCCAGCCTGTCACTCTGTGGAATCCACGATACCTGTGGGTTAACAAGGTCAGAGGAATGCCACTAACCCAGGCTTCTATCCATGTGACTTCCAGAGAGACCAGGTCCTGAAATTCCCCAGGCCTTGCCCACCCAAGAAGGCCATGCTGAATCCTCACAGAGCTCTGTCCAAGCCGCAGGTCCCCCATTGGAAGAGGACCCCCAGAAGCCTGACCGTGAGTCCGAACGGCTAGGGCCCTTCTTTGCTATGGGTGGGAGACTGCACCAAACTCAGGGTGACCACTGAAACCTCGCAGGGTGAGTCGCAACACACACATCTTTGGTGCCTATTCTGCCGCTTCCGACACTACTTACAACAGAATCTAACAGGAGGGAGGCAGAGGCACCAGAAGGGCAGCTGGCAAGCGCTCCTGCCTCGTGCCTTTGCTTTCAATCTCTTCAAATGTATTAAAAGAGGGACTGGGGCTCATGTGGTAGAGTGCTTGCCTGGCACACACAGCTGTCATTAGATCCCCAATGTCACATAAATGGGGTGTGGTGGTGTACACCTGCAATCCTAGCACGGGGGGGGGGCAAGAAGGTTACAAGTTCAAGCCCACCTGGCAGTAGTGGTGCATGCCTTTGATACCAGCACTCAGGGGTTTGAGGCCAGAGTGGTCTACAAAACAAATTCCAGGACAGCCAGGGATACACAAAGAAACCCTGCCTCAAAACAAAACACAAAAAGAAGTTCAAGGTCATCACTCATAGTGAATGTAGGAGGCCAGCTTGAGCTACATGAGACCTTATTCACTTACCATTTATCTGTCTATCTATCATCCATCTAACATCTAATTAACCATCTATCTATCTATCCATCTATCTATCAGGGACTGGTGGTGTAGTTAGGCAGGGACTGTACTTAGTGTGTCAGAGGCCTTGGGCTCAAATAAATAAAACAGATATACAGAAAAATAGAAAGAACAGTCGTCCAGTGGCCACAGCTAGTAACTGTCAGACTGCTTCGAAGAATTTTCTCTCAGAACACAGGAAATAAGAAGACATTTCAGCTCTATAGACTTAAACAGCAGTACAGCCAGCCTCACACACAATCAGGACACATTCACTGCTCCTAACCAAACCTAACATACCCCCTTCAGCTAATTCTCTAAAACGTCAGGCCATGCAAGAGATAGAGAGAAATGTCTGTGGTCAGTTTGTAAGGTATTCACTTTATAGTTGTCACACTGTAGGCTGTGTCAGGAAACAAGCCGGAGGGACTGGTAAGTGAGAGAGCTGGAGTGAGGGGCAGTGTTAGGATAAAGTGAGGGGAACCTTATCGAGGGTGACCCAGGCGCGGGGGGGGGGGGGGGGCACACGACGACACGGCAAACGCGCTAGACAGACAGAGCTCAAGTGAGTTTCATTAGAAAGGGGAGGGAAGGGGGAAGGAAAGAGAACAGAGGTAAAGAGACACAGAGGACAAAAGAGAAGAGAGAGACAGGAAAAGTCCTGTCTGCCCAGAGGAACAGTGCGAAAGAGAGAGAGCATAAGTGGGCGGGGGTCTGTCTTTTAAAATGGTCCTTTGCACCTGCGTACAGACTACCATGGAACCCTGGGCTGACCAGGGTACTGCCTGAGTGCATTTTGCCAGCTGACCGGCAGGCCAGCACAATGCTGGAATCCTTACAGGCAGAAACCCTGCAGCTAGCCGGGCCACAGAGGCTCTCCTTTGCTGGACCTTTTTGTGCAAACAGACCTTTGGTGTGTGGCTCCTGGAATGTGCACAGCATCGAAGGACAGGTTCTCCTGCATGAGGAGCGGTGGAAGCTGCTATGTGGCAGGTCCTCTCTGAGCCTCAGGCTGTGGATCTACCATTTCTGCAGATCCCCTGCAAATTGCATAGACTGGAAGACTTGGGGTCAGCCTTGGAAAATGTTTCTAAGTCCCAGCCTTTGTTGATGTCCAGACAGACCCCGAGAGAGACAGGGTAAAGATTATGACCCATATTTCACAGGGAAAGCTCTAAACGTCAAAAGAAGGTAAAGATACCCTATGTAGCCACCACCAACCCCAACACTGATGCTCACAGATCTCCGAAGGCCAGTTAGCAGGGTAGGCTGAACTCCCTGACATCTGGCCTTAAATCCCTGCATAAAATGTCATGCTTTGGGCTGTTCCACCAAGGCCGACGACCTGAGTTCGATTCCTGGGACCCACATAATAGGAGAGAACTAATTTCCAAAGGTTGTCCACTGAACTCCACATGTGTCCTTAATAAATAAAATTTAAAAAGCTTAAACAGTCACACTTTGGCTCAAAAGAAAAATGCTGCCCTGTGAATCGGCCAGTTCTCACTCAAGTCAACCCTGTGTGGGTGAGAAGTGGGGGATCCCAAGGGAACCAGCCGGGCCAGCCACACTGGGACCAGATCCGAATACTGTCATTGTTTTGTTTGTTTGTTTGTTTGTTTGTTTTTACAAGCATGGTCCCCGTGTGTTCTCTTGCAGAGGATGAAGTCATCTGGAAGATTGTGGAATTACTCAAGAAAGCCGGGGACCATTTGGAGGAAGAGGTGAGGCGCTTGCATCAGAGAACGCCTGCAGAGCTGCTGCAGCTCCGGGTTCGTGCCCCCTCCCGAATTCCTGAAGCTGCTTCCCGCCCTGGGCGGTCCCTGTTAGGGCTGCCTTTAGGGTCTCCTCAAGGTCAGGGGCCTGACTGCGTTCTCTCTTCTCCCCCACAGCAAGTGCAAGTCCCTCAGCCGGAAGTGGCTCCACAAAAGCCAACGCCGCCCCCCAGGAAGAAATCCCAGGAGAAGAAGTCCAACCTGAAGAGAGTCTTGTCCCTCAAGAAGCCTGCCTCCGAGGAACCCAAGAGAGGGGGTGCAGCCACTGCCTTTGGCCCAGAAACACGGCCCAAGAGGCCCAGCTACCTACCCGTTTGTATCAGTGCCCAGCGACCTTCCACCTCCAGCAGCCACGGTGAGCGGGCTCCGCAGTTGGCATAGCAACTGCAGCTTCCCTCCAGCTCGGGAATCTTCCCAGGGCTGGGATTGGACAGCTCTGTTCTGATGTCCACACCAGGCTTTGAGCGGTGTGGAGGGGGTGGGTGATGGAGAAGGATCTGAAGCTGGTCACCTCCACATGGCCTCACTAGGGTGCAGTCAGCGCACCTGAGCCCTTGATGGTACTGTGTGCAGGGTCCTTGCAGGTTCCGGACAGAACCAGAGACGGGGGTGGGAGGTGGGGGGGCTGGTTCCCAGCTACATTTTTTTTCCTCTTAATGTGTATGGATGTTTTGCCTACACGTGTGTCTGGGTACCATGCCTATGTCTGGTGTCTGAGGCGGCCAGAGGTGAGACTCCGACCCTCTGGAGCTGGAGTTACAGATGATTATGAGCCACCATGTGGGTGCTGGGAGTCAAACCCACATCCTCTGCAAAGAGCACTGGGTGCTCTTAACCCCTGAGAACTCTTCATACACACACCTATTTTGTTATTTTGGGTTTTAGGTTTTTTTTTTTTTTTTTTGTTTTTTTGTTTTTTGGTGTTTTTTGTTTTTGCTTTTTGTTTTTAGGTTTGTTTGTTTGAGACAGAGTCTCACTTAGCCCAGCTGGTCTCAAATGCCCTTGTGTAGCCCTGACATTGGCCCTCCTGCCTCCACCCACTTCCTGAATGCTCGGGTTACTGGCTTGTGCGCCCACCACCTGGTTCTGTGGTACTAGGAATTGAACCCAGGGTCTTCTGCCTGCCAGGCAAACAGTCCCAGCTGGCTGCCCAAGCCCTCCAGGTTTCACTCTTTCTGTCATCTCATCTCTGTCTCAGATTGCTCTCTCTATCTTGATTTGTCTTGGGAGTGAGGAAGCTGGGTGCAGGGGTGAAGTGATGTGGTTATAGTCACATGACTCATCAAAGCTAGAGCCAGAATTATGGGGGGAGGGCTGGGCACCTCGGTTCTTCCTGGGCCTCAGGGTGGATGGGAACCTGCCTCATGGGAGACCATGGCCAGGGGAGTTTCTGGCTTAGAGAGGAAGGATTCAGGGTCATAAAGGGATCAGTTTAGGCCATGGACCTTCATTCATTCCATGGAGCCAGGCATCTTTTGTTCCCTAGTGGACCAACCCAAATGGTGGCTAGGTGGAGACCCCATGGAAAGGGGAAAGGGCAGAGAAACAGGCAGATCAGCTCTGGGGGCTGGACAAGGCCTGATCTGGCCCCAAACAGAGCCCCACACCTAGCACAGTCCCAAAGCTCACTGAACCCAACAGAGGCCCAGGGCAAGGTATACTGGCACCTGCCTGGGCTCAGAGCCAGCAGCTGTGTGTGGCTGACACAGCGCATTTACTTCACCTTTCTGCTTCCCAGACTCAGAGGAGCCCAGATTCCAGGAAGTCCTGTCTGTAGACGGTGGATGCCCACATTCCTCGGAGCTTCACACCCCAACTGAATGTCAGGGACCAGCGGAGAGGCCACCGAGGGACAGAGCCTGGGAATCCCGTTAGTACCTGGCCCCTCAGAGAGAGAACCACTTGAAGGAAATGAAACTAAGTCAGAGAGAGGGACACCTAGGCCTATTCCAACCTCTTTGGGAAGTCACAGCCTGTGGAGATAGCCTGGACTCACAGCACACTTTGTCTGCTATCCTCAGTTTCTTCACTTTGTAAGGGTGGTCATTGCTAGAGGTCTTAACTAAATCACGGCCTGTGAAGCATGGGGTGCAGGCAGGTTGTATCAGCTACTGTGTGCTGTTATTATGTTAGGTGGCCGGCTTGAGGACTGGCTGAGGGCAGGAAGGGACCGAGAACAGAGGAGTGGAGGGAGGTATTGTTATCACTTCATTGTTGGCAGAGCCAGGCCTGGATCTACACATCTGGAGACATCTGGGAGGGGGTGTGGGGGGAGATGGGGAGGCAGCTGACAGTGTGAATGCCTCCTTGGCAAGAGGGCCCAAGTTTGCACTCCAGACCGTCCATGAAAAGAGAAACAACAGAAGGGCTGGAGTGTGTGGACCTGGCCCTAGGAAGCCAGTGCTGGCCACGGCGCTTTGTGAGGAACCCTGCTTTTTCCTTAGGAGAATTCAGGCGGAAGATCCTGGCCCTACTCCGAAGTGCAGAGGAGCAGAATGGAGAGCAGGTGAGGACCACTCCCCCACCGTCCTGCGCTTCGGGCACACCTCCACCCCCTTTGCTTCATTCTAAGCTCTGTACTGGCCTCCCCCAGACCACACTCCCCAGCACCAAATGCCTTTGCCCTCCTGCTGGGTTACACTGGCTAGGCCATGGTTCACCTTTGACCTTCTCAAGGTCAGGGGCCATGCCTCAGTTTCTCTCTTCTTGCCCATAGCAAGCTGAAGTCCAGGAGGCAGAAGATGCTGGAGAAAACCCCGCCCCCGCCTGCAAGGTGAAGTCACAGGGGAAGAAATCCAACCTCAGGCGGGCCTTTTCCCTCAGGAAACATGGCTCCAAGGATTCCAAGAGAACGGAGGCCGCTTCGGGGACTCCAGGTGCTGCCAGCCCAGAGACCCGGCCACCCAAAAGGCACGGCTTCCTGCCCATGTGTGTCAGTGGCCACAGAGCTTCCATCTCCAGCGGCCCAGGTGAGCAGGCCTGGTGTTACCATGGTAACTTCAAGTCTTGATGTTGGCTGTCTGCTGTGGGAAGAGCCTGGAGGCGAAGGGGCCAATTTTCAGCAGGACACCCACCAAAAAGCTCAGAGTTCCCTCTTCTTAAAAACGAAGATGTTGCTAGATCTGGGATTGTCTGTTAGGTGTCACCAGGGAGTACTCTTGGAAACAGACCAGGGGACACTGGAAGGGGACTGCACTAAGGCAGGAGGACCATTGGTACTTATGCAGTGCCTGCTGTCTATACCACTAGCACAGTACATGGGAGATCTGTCTTAGGATTCCCTCTTGATGACTGGGGAAGGTGAAGTTCAGACTGACAGGGTTGAGCCTTGCACATTTAAAGGAATGGTGGTTTTGCTGGGTTGGGCCTCCCCGAGGACTGAGACAGAGGCCAAACTCATATATCTTTCTGCCACTCCATGCAGAAGACCCGGAGTTCCAGAAGTTGGAGGCTGCAGGAGGGGAACCAGCTGGGTCCCCAGAAGTGCCCTTCCAGGCCAGAAGCCACGCACCAGATGAGCAGCCTCTACCAGAGGGAGCCTGGGAATCTAGTCAGTATACCCTGCCCCCACTGGGATAGCTTTTGCCAGTTCCTCTTCTACTGATGCTCCCTAGGAGTGGAGAAGGCAGCTGAACCCTGTCCCTGAGACCCTACAGTGGGGACAGGGACCATGGGTGTGCTCTTTAAACTGGGGCTGCTGGGCAAGGATCAAGACCAGGCTTTGGGGACATTAGTCCATTTCACTGGTGTAAATGGTTCCACCTTGGTCCTATTGGAGCTGCCAATAGTTTGTATTCTCTGTGACTTTCCTGCATACTTTAGTGAACCTGGCCCAAACAGGCACCAAGGGGCTGATAACTCAGCTGAGTGGTCTTCCTGTTGTGGCAGCACCATAGCTGGCCACTCTGAGCGCAAGTCTCCCCATTCCTAACATTAGGAGCCCTCAGTTAGTGTCAGGGCAGCCGAGTGCCCTCACAGGTGGAGAGAATGCTCAGGGTTTATTTGGAGGGCTACTAGCTGCTGTGGCAGTCTGGCAGGGAGGCTGGGTGCCACTGGGGACAGCTTCTCATCCTTCCCTTCCTCCCTCAGAGGAGTCCGTCATCCACAAGTTGGTGGAAGGTCTCCAGGAGGTGGACAGCGACTTAGGGAGGCAGGTGAGTACAGCTCAAACTGTCCAGGTGGATACAGGGGCTTGCACACCCTCCTCTGAGACCTGGGTTCTAGTCCTCCTTCTGAGTGACCTTGGACATATCCCTTAATCCCACTGAGCCTCAGTTCACTCCTTTGCAAGATAGGGATAATCCCCGCTTGACCAAACAGTGCCTATGCAGAGAACACCTAACACATGGCAGGTGAAGAGAATGTTAGTTTAAAATAATAGGATGCAGGCAGACTAGGGAGACAGCTCAGCAGGTAAGAGAGCTTGCTGTGCAAAATGAGAGCCTGAATTCAAATCCCAAGCACACATGTAAAAAAAAAAAGGCATGGCCTCATGTACCTGTAAGCCCAGAGCTGCATGGGTGGGAAGTGGGGGAGTAGGGGGAGGGAGACGAAGACAGGAAGATGCTGGGGCTCAATGGCTGCCAGCCTACTTCCAGGGTCAGTGAGAAACCCTGTCTCAAGGGAATAAATAAGACAGAGTTCTAAAGCAGGACATCCAATATCCTCTGACTTCTAAATGTATATGTACACGTGTGCATATATCGCACACATGCACAACACACACACACACAGCACCCCAAGACCTTGCACCCTCCAATCCTTCAGATTCCACTGCAAGGACACTTTGAACTGTTGCAGCCATGCTGATGGGCCACTTAACTGAATCCAGTTCTTTCAGGCGTGTAGCTTATCTGTCCCCACACAGGCTCCTGCCCTTGAGAGACAGGCAGATCCCATGTGAGGGAGTGAATGTGCCTCAGCTTTCCACCTCTCAACCCCAGCCCGTGGACATGTGCGTCTCACCACCCATCAACCCAGAGGCCCTGCACCATGTGCAGTGGGGGAAATCACTGTGCGATCCCCAGCCTCCACCATGGTGCTGGGAGCGAGAGTATAAAGACCACAGCCATCCCCAAGATGCATCCATATACCCCGCTGTCTGGACCACCTTGTCGTAGGTCCTTACTCCCCATCACTATGCCAGGATCTCAAACCACATTCGACCCAAGTCTGTGTCTTTGGGGCCACCCCAGGAACACCACAGCTGCCATGTTCAGATATGAAGAGAAGGGAACTGACCTTCAGAAGGACTTTAGTGTTCTGCATGAATTATCTGCTTCTACCCCTAACCATTTTGGAGAGGGGATTTGGTCTCCTCCATTTCTATAGCCAATCAGAGGTCATAGTGACGTGTTCTGTGTAGAGCTATACATGTATGTGCGTTCAGCTTTTGCTTTGCCCTGTAGCTGAGCCATACTTGCAGGTGTTGGAGGGACTTAATGAGGGTGCTCACAATGGATACTAGGGGGCAGGCTGGTGTGGGAGGTACTATGCTGGCAGCTCTGACCACCTCTACCTTTCTTCCAGATCCGGCAGTATCCCAGCTTCAAGAAGTTTTTTAATGGGTTCTCAGATGCCTCCCTCAGGAAGCTGGTGGCCGCCTTAGACAGACAGAAGGCCCGCCTCTCAGAGGAAGACAGGAGCCCTGTCAACAGACCGCCACTGTGTGCCTTTGGTTCACTTAAGTTTTCTGTCAACCACAGCTGCGCCATCTGCACCCTCATGCAGTCCAGTGGCCACTACAAGGGACACAGTTATGCCCACTTCTTGTCCAGTAAGGCCCAGCAGGTGAGAGCCAGAGGGGAGGAACACATCAGTGAGGCATAAGGCATGACAAGTGTCCTAGAAGGCTCTTCTGACTTTTCTGATATGCTCAGACTTTAAATTTTTCTTTCAGATTGCATCTGTTTGTTGTGTGTGGGCACACGCATGTGTGTGTGAGTGCCATAGCATATGTGTGGAGGTCAGAGGGCAACTTGTAGGAGTTGGCTCTCTCCTACCATGTGGGTTCAGGCTTAGCAGCAAATGTCTTTACCTGCTGAGCCATCTTCCTGGCCCCTCAGTCAGGATTCTTAGGCTTCAGTTCAAATGCCACTTCCTTGAGACAATTTAAACCACGATGACAGAGTTAAGTGGTAGTCAAATGTCAAAGGACTGGCAGCCATGGCGGGTGGAGCCAGTGGTCCCTGGAGGCCACCAGGAGGTGGCAGACACAATTTGGATGGTGGAACTTTGGAGACTATAGCTGGAGTGGAAGGACTGGGGACAGCCGTGCATGATGCAGGGAGAGGCTGCAAATGTTAGCGGACCTAGCATGGGTGTGGGTGGGGTATAGAAAACGTGCTGTTTGCAGAGTGGGACCTGCTGACTCAGCTGTGGCTTCTCTCCCTCTCAGAACATCACGAGTCTGGCTGGTCAGAGTCCAGACTGAAGGCTGCATCTCATACCCAAGTTCTTTCAGACTAAGAGTTGGAAGCTTTGGCCTAGAGACCCTGAAGACACTGTAGGATGGTCCTGTTCTGTGCTTCCCGACCATGCCTGGAGAATGGACAAAGATGCTCTGTGTAGTCAACACTGTTCTGAGAATGCTTTTCTTCCTGGAAGCTGGGCCCAGAGACCATGTTAGGGGTGGCACTGGGTTAGGGTTAGGAGAGCAGGCTCTATCCACTGAACTTGAGGAGAGGCCGACTGACACCTGCCAGACCCAGCTTCCAATGAGTCTTAGCTGGGTGTGTGTGTGTGTCCATGTGGGGGTGTGTGGGGTGTGGTTATAGATCACAGGTCAGCCTCAGATGTCTGATTCCAGTTCTATCTACCTTGTTTTCTTGAGATAGGATCTGTCACTGGCCTGGGCCTTGCCTCATAGGTTTGTGTAATGTTGAGAGTCCCAGGGATCCACCTGTTTCTGCCTCTCCTCTCTAGTACTGACATAACAAACATGCCACGACACCCCACCATAAATGAGTTGTGATGACACGCTCCCATGCCCGAGGACATGCAGCCTTTGTCCTGTCCTGCATGTTGTGGACATGAATCAAGCTCCCAGCTGGTGGCAGTGAGCGTCTTGAGATGGCTCCTCTTGTGGAAGAGTCTGTTTGTACAACTATGAGGTATGGGTGCAAAAGGCTCTGCCTTCCACCCAACTGGCCAGTGACTCAGATGGGCAGTTTGTCACACTCAGGTGATAGGGCCACTGAGTCCCTGGGCTGTCAGCGGGAAGGTGTGGCCATGGGCTTTAAAGCCTGGATGACAGACGAATCTGGTTAGCCTTGGAGACTATTCTTGGGCACGTCAGGTCCATGGCAAGCGGGCTGGGAGACAGAGTGAGGGTAGGGAGTCCTGGGCTCAGGTGGGGCTGGCTTCAAGACTGAGGTACCCTTGCAGGAAGTTCAACTAAAATCATGCAGGATTTTTTTTTGTTGTTTTTAATTGCTTCAAGGTGTTTTTCTTGGCAATCAGTGACCTCTTTATAGATTTATTTTAGGCAGTATTCAGGGATGTGTCACTGATGTGCAAGAACTAAGTTTTGAAATGAGGGTCAGAAACCTTTGGTACATAATTTATTTTTCTTTATTATTTTTATTAATCTCATGCATAGTCCAGGCTGGCCTTGAACTTCTGGTAATTCTGCTCTGCCTAACAATAGCTGGGATTACAGGTGTGTGACACCACACCAAACTATACACAGATTCTTCTATTTATATAAAGATTTTGTTTTTATTTTAAGTTATTTGTATGTGGGTTTGTGCACATGCATGCAGTGTCCACAGAGGCCAGAAGAGGGCACTGTATCTCATGAAGCAGCTCATGTTGAGTCACCTCTCCAAACCTTGGACATGGTTTCTTATTGACAGTGACGACCTTCTGGATAGTATTTTGTATGAGTTCCCAATGCTGGCATCCAAGTCTCACTTTTGTACTGTGTGTTTGAGCCAATAAAGATGCTGACTTTCTCAGAGTGTGATCTGGATCTTTCCAAGGAAGCTAGAGTACCAACCCCTTGTCCTATCCAGTGGAAACAAAATGGCTGCCCCCCGTGTGATCCAACAAAGGCAAAAAGGCCACCACCCTGCCCCATCTAGGACAGCCAGAACCTGCTCAATAGGGGGGCCTGCCCTGGGTTCTCTCTAGATATTTCTCAGGTGGTCCATACTTGGGGTGACACCGTGCTGACACAGTAACAAAGGGGTCAGAGGCGGGGTGGTCAGGAGCCCCAGGCTACATGTCTGCAATGTTGGAAACAGCACATTGACCACCTGACTGCCACTACAACCCTGGGAATGGCAAGGTTACAGCCACAGAGAGACTGGGCCAGCCATCTTTCTCTTTGTAATAGTCCATGAAGCTGAATGTGACTGCACAGAGGTGTGTGGAGCAAGGAGGCTATGCTCTGCTACATGTCTGAATGAAAACATGAGGGCATGGCTGACAAGGTTTATTGTAGACACGAGGGAGAGAACAGCCTAAGGCATCTGGAAGAGTCCAGAGTGAACATGCCCAGCAGACTGAGGTGGGGCACGAGGCTGGGGGCAGGGTGGAGAGAGGGGTACAATGGCGGAAGCATCAGGTCAAGAGAGGAACACAATGGCTGGGTTATATAGGAGGCAGAGAAGCTGGGTTCGATGCCCAGGACCTGGAGAGGGGCTGTGTGATGGCTGTCAGGATGACTCTGTAACAGGGATGAGTGAGTAGGGTCTAAGGGAAGCCTCCACTTTGATATGTTAAATAAGCACCTCAATTAGCTATCTGTCCCGGGTTTCTTTGAGACCAACACTATCCAGTCTGAGTTCAGCTTGGGCTATGTAAGACCTGGTCTACAAACAAAATTCAGTCCCTGAGCGGCTGATAAAGAAAGGAAGGGCCAGGTGTGCTAGCACGTGCCTATAGTCCCAGCATGAGGAGGCAGAGGCAGGAAGACCTCTGTGACTTGGAGGCCAGCCTGGTTTACAGAGCGTGTTCCTGGACAGGCTCTAAAGCTACACATAGAAACCCTGTCCTGAAAAACAAAACAAAACAAAACAAAACAAAACAAAAAGAAAAAATGAACAGATAAAGAAGAGATTAAAAGGATTAGTTAACAGAGAGAGCAAGTGAAAATACAGGCTGCCCAGCAAATTTGAATTTAATCGAGAACCCTCGAGTTCCAGCCTCAGGGTTCAGGCTGGAGGCCAGACAGCAAGCGGGTAGGGCTGACTGAAAGGATTTCATGACTCTATTCTTCAAAAAAGTTGTTTCCCTAAAGTTCTCTCTTCAAAACTTCTCTCAGATCCCACAAGGTTTCCAGTATATACACCCTCACAGACACAATTAACAGTTCTCTGGCAATATTAAGGATACCAGTCATGCATATCTCAGGCTAGAAGAGTAGGTAAGACCTGAGAAAATGGTCACAGATCAGAGGGGACATGACTTGTAAAACGTCTGGGCACGGCTTAAGATGTGGTGAAAATTAAAGGGCTATGATTTCTAAGAAGGGTGTTAGTACATAAAGCTACATTTGTATGGTTAATTAAGCTAGAAGTTTGTAATTGATACATGTAGAAAAACAGGAACACTATAATTTTATGCTTTCTAGGAACTGAGTTTTGCTTTTGCTTTCTCGGTAGCTGGCAACAGAGTCAGGGAACCCATGGCTACTGGCATAAGTTTCAGGAGGAAAGAGGGTGGCATTTAATCCCCACTAGCGTATTGCCAAATGTTAGTTGATTAAAGGGAACTTCTCAGTGCTATTTCAAAGGGAGTGTGAGGTCCCAAAGCTGCAGCTCTTATGGCTGATGCCCTGGTGAAAAGCAATTCCTTTCTCTGGGGCCTATTTGAGAATATATTCTACATATCAAGAATATACAGCCAAGTGAAATAACCCTGACTTCCCACAGATGTATGTATCCAGTAGACGGAATATTTTCATGAGATAAACACACACAAGCAGTGAGAATCACCCAAAGCTGTCCTTAGGGAAGAGATGAAGTGGGTCATTGGCCTCGGCAGGTGGTGCTTATCCTTAGGGAAGAGATGAAGTGGGTCCATGGCCTCGGCAGGTGGTGCTTATTGCTCATGTGGTAGGGTTAGGGTTTGGATGTTAGTTATTCTGCTGTATTCCTCATGGCCCTTGACAGAATTTCAGGTACATTATTGTAATTTTGGGCACATCATGCCAAGAAAACAATTGTTCCGTGTTTACCTGAGATTTCTAGTCACACAGTATCCTGTGTTGTATCCTAGAACTAGTACAAAGACTTCTCTTCACTAGGCCATGGTGGTGCACACCTTTTTAATCCCAGCATTCTGGAGGCAGAGGCAGGCAAGTCTGCGAACTCCAGACCAACTTGGTCTTAAGTAAGAGCTAGTTCCAGGACAGCCTCCAAAGCCACAGAGAAATCCTGTCTCGAAAAAAACAAAACAAAACAAAACAAAACAACCAAAAAGATCTCTCTTCATTAGCTGGAAACAGGAGAAATTAATACAAGCCAAGAGAATCTGCAAGGGGCTCAGGACCTTTGGGACAATGGTGACATTGGAAGCAACTAGGCTTCATATACTTGCTGTGAAGGAAGACAATGGTTAATGAGTGCCTCATACTGCTGTGCCAGCGAATTGGCATTTCTGGGCTGAGATGGACTCTCCTATAGATGAAGGTCCTCATACAGATGGAAGCTGTACCTTGGGGACTGCAGCCATGTGCCAAACTCCAAGTGCTGCCCCTCATGGCTTACAGTACTGGATAAGCCAGGGTATCCCTGCCAGACACAGAGGATCTTGATTTTATGTTGGCAGTGGGTGGTAAGGAGGCTATCATGTTTGAGACAGAGTCTTATGTAGCCCAAGCTAGTCCCTACCTCACTACGTAGCTAGGATGACCTTGAACTCCTGCTGCTTTAGATAAGAGTCACCCCAGCCTTGCAAAAGCACTGACTACTCTTCCAGAGGTCCTGAGTTCAATTCCCAGCAACCACATAGTGGCTCAGTGCCATCTATCATGAGATCTGGCGCCCTCTTCTGGCCTGCAGACAGAACATTATATATGTAATAAAAATATGTTTAAAAAAAAAAAAAAAGCCCATTTTGTTCTCTGAAACCACTATTAAGTTAAGGCCTCCTTGCCTCAGGGGCCCCCTCTCTCGGCTTACATTTATCCCCAGGTCCTCAGTGGCCAAGTCTGGCTTGCAGTCGAGCACCAATCAGCCTTGGCTTTAGGTTTTGCATTTGAATATTTGTTAAGCAAATGCTGCTGGAGCCTGCGGGCAGCCTGGGCCTCCTTGCTGGGCCTGGCTGGGGTGATTTCCTTTCTAGGGAGCCATGGGCACATCTGCTGAACAGGGTGGGAATGCTGAGGCTTATAGTGAGACCCCCGTACTATGAATCCTAACCAGAGTGACTCCACCTTGCAGCCAGCGGCAGGACAGTCTTTCTTCACAGCAGACTTCGGTAAACCTTCCCATGGCCAGTGTTTGAAGAGACTAAGAGATTCGGAGAAGGGCAAGTGTAGGGCACAGGCAAGCATGGACCCCAACCTGCCCAGAGTCTGGTGCATTTGTGCTTAGTATCAGTTGAGCCTGGGGTCTTCTGGACTGCTTCAACTCAAGGTAGTGCTTCTTTGGTCTCAAACCCAGACAAAGGGCTGAGATGCCTATTAACATATCAAAGCAGATCTGGCCACCAGGATCTCCTAGCATCCCTCAGTCTCTGCAGGGTCCTCCTGGCTGGCATACCCCATCCCTACCCTGAACATGCCAGCCCCTGGGCTGGGCTGCCCTTCCCTATATCACCCAGTCATTTGGGCTTCCTGGTCTTTTTACCCTTTTACCTCTTGGCCTCCTAACCTCTTGGCTCCTGGCTCCTCCCTCATCTCCTCTCATGGCTTGGATCAAGGTCTTGTTCACTTTGGACTCTTCCAGATGCCTCTGGCTGTTTTGTCCCGTGTATCTACTATAAACCTTCTCCACCATACCTAGGAGCAGTTTTGTCCTCCTTTTATTTTTCTTTCACAGGATCTGCCGGAAACTTAGGGTGCAAGGGCTAATGTTATGTTTTAAGTTTAAATTACCATGCTTAATTCGTCTATAAAACAAAAATGTCCCACTTGCCCAAAGACAGATGGTTTTCTGGAATGCTGGGGCTGTTGCTCACATAAGAAAACAAGCCATGTGTTTTCACTTCTGTAAACGAGCTTGGTTGCCCCAGCTGCACAGGATATGCTTGGTCACATGTAGGTGGGAGGTACTTAAGCAGGAATTACATCAATGCCGCATGCTTGCCCCTGATAGGATGAAGGCAGGAAGCACATAGCCTTGTGGGGTTTGCCTTTATAAGCACTGGACTAAGGTAATTCACGGCCAGTCTCTGGAAATCCCAGGTAAGGACCTGGCAAGTGTCCATCGTCCTGGCCTGTTTTTATTTAATAAAGCTTGCTTCAAGTTTAGCTCAATAGTGGCAGTGGTCTCATTCTTACCTGGAGGGATTGACAAGAGCCACACACAACAGAAGCTTGGCTGGTGCCCACAGGAAGGCAGCTGTCCAAGTAACCCTTTTCTAAACTCATCTTCAAGAAGAACTTGAACAAGCCATTTTGGGGGTGCTGTCCCATGCCAGCTTGAGAACAAATGTTTAATTTTACATGTCCCCCAAAGTATCACCCAATGAGGCTGAAGATGTCTTCCTTGTGGATTACTGTTATTGTCACAGCAGTGTGAATGACATTCTGCTCTCACTGGGGCTGGGGGAAGGGACAGTTGGTCCTTGACATCTTCCACTACTACCCCAGGATTGAGAAAGCCCATAGCCGCTGATCTGCATGGCTGAGCCGCATAATTCCAGGGGGTAGGAGTAAAAAAAAAAAAAAACAAACAAAAAAAAAAAAAAAAAAAAAAAAAAAAACTGAAGCCCAGAATGCTGGTCAGGTCCTCTCCTTGGGGGATGGATTCTAGGGAACAGTTTCAGAAGGAGTCCTGGTGATTGTAAATGGAGACTTTGGTGGGCAGGAGATTCTTCAGACAAGGGAACACATACCGGGGGAGCAGACCTTCTACAGTGTTGGATGGCTGAGGGCATCCCCTGCTCCCGACTGACCACCAGGCTCCAGGTCACTGGGGTGTCTCCTGCTTCAGCCTAGGAGTTCTGTACACCCACCTCCTAAGAAAGGACAAAGAGTTGAAACTTGGAGTGCATCCTGATCTGAGTTCCACCCAGACCGCCTTTCCGGTGTTCCCTCTGTTGCGCTTGACCAAAACCGGGGATCTAGGATTGTCCCAAAAGCCAGTTTAGGGGTTCACTTTATTATCCCAGACCCCTTAGGTGCCCCAGGAGGAAGTGATTTAAAAGGTATTTAAAATACTATTCAGTCTATAAAGATGAGTTGGTACTTGTTTTCCAGGGAATGGGAGTGGTCTCCAGGCTGCTCAGTTCAGCTGTGCGGTTAGTGTACTATGCCAGGTACCAGTGCAGGTGGGTCATAGACATTTGGGTACAATTCAGAGGTTAGCTGTGCACTTCTCTGCAGCTCTCTCTCTTTGTTTTATTTTTATTTTCTTTTGTTTTTTGAGACAGGATCTTGCTATGTAGCCTTGGCTGTCTCAGAACTTGATCTGTAGACCAGGCTGACCTGGGAATCACAGAGATCCACCTGCCTCTGCTTCCTGGGTGCTGGGATTAAAGTTGTATGCCACCATCTCCTCCAGCATCTCAGCTTGCCCTCCCTCCCCCTGACTCTCTCTCCCTTTTTCTGTGTCTGCCTCTCTCTGTGTCTCTTTCTCTCTCTCCCTTTTTTGGTTTTTGAGACAGGGTCTCACTATGTAGTATTGGCTAGTCTTGAACTCACTCTGTAGACCAGGCTGGCCTTGAACTCATAGAGATCCACCTGCTTCTGCTTCACAAGGGCTGGGATTAAATGTGTGCACAACACCTGGCTCCCAGATGTACTCTTAATACACAATACACTAGCGCTGACTACGGCTGTGTCAGGAAAGGAGGGGAGGACAGAAATGAAGTTAGAGGGCATGCTCAGGATCAATACCATCTGGGACAGGGGAGGCAGGGTCACTGCTGGGAGACACCCACAGGGATTCCATACCTCAGGGCAGCTGTATTCTTGGATCCGGTTGGGATGAGGCTTGTAGGTGACCCAAACTGTCTTAGAAGTGGAGAGTACAGGAAAGTCGAGTGGGCAAGGAGTGGGCCTGTATTCCAGAAGCCAAGAACACATTTATGAGGGAAATAGGAGCCGCTGTCGTTCCAAGCCCTACTTTCACTTGTCATGGACCCCTGAGCAGCCGCTTGCTCTCTCTGGAAAGTGGCTGGTGGCTCCTGATGCCCTCCTCTCCTTGATCTCTTGCTCTCTTCTTCCTCCTCTCTCCTATTTATCCTCTCTGCCTGCCAGTCCCACCTATGCTTTCTCCTGCCTCACTATTGGCTATTCGGCTCTCTATTAGGCCATCAGGTGTTTTTAGACAGGCACAGAAACACAGCTTCACAATGTTAAACACATGCATAAACAAAAGTCACACACCTTAAAACAATATTCTACCACCCCCAACCCCTCACCTCCCGTTTTGCAGGTCAGAAAATGCAGACTCAGAGAGCCCAGATGTCCTAACCATAAGCTCCGAGCTTGCCTGGCATAGTAGGACTTTCCGTCCATTAACCATGAGTATTAGATACTTACTGTAGTTTGCTAGCTGGCTTCTTGGACCGAAGGTTTCTCTGGAAACACTCTCTGGTAGCATTTGTTTTCTGTTTCTTCTTGAACATCTTGTTTGCCCTGTTTGAATCTACAGCAGGATGGTTCCTGGGCAAAAAACCCAAGGAGGTGGTTGGTTATGGCCTGAGCAGTATCTGCCACCACCAGTGTCCTACCCCAGCTCAGGAGATCCAGCCGTACTGGTCAAGGCTGGAGTTGCCTAGCAAACATTTCTGATTATTGTTAATTATTTATTTGGACGATACCTGGCCAAGGAGACAAAGCCCCACCTTATACCTACTAAAGGTAGATGCAAAGAGGCTAAAGTCACACAAACAAATACTGTCAAAGGGTTTTTAAGAATTTTTTAATGTTTGTGTGTCTATATGTAAGTATGCATTGATGGAGACCAAAAGAGGGCATCAGATCCCCTGGAGTTGGAGCTGCAGGCTGCTGTGAGCTGCCCAGTGTGGGTGCTGGGAACTGAATTTGGGTCAGGTTCTCTGTAAGAACAGTTTTATCCTTAATCACTGAGTCATCTCTCCAGCCACACACACCCCCAGCTGTAGAGTTAAAATCATATGTAATGGGGGATATAGGTACATCTTGATAAACTCGATGTGAAACAAAATACAAATGTCTAAGGAAGAATGCCCAAGGCCATGATAGCACACACCTATAGTCTCAGGACTCGGAACGCAGAGGCAGGGCTGCCAGCTCACTGTTAGCCATGGCTATGGAGTGAGACCCAGATCCAAGGATAGAATAAAAGAACAGAAGGTTCCAACCCTGCTTTTCTAAAAGACAAAGATGAAAGGGGAGATGGTGCCTTTCACTGGTCAAACCAACTGCTACCCAATCAGAAGGGAGCCTGAGAAATGCAGTTCCCAGGGATCCTTAGGCCTGTCATGCCTGCAGAGATAATGGAGAGTGTGGGTTACAAAACCCAGACAACTGAGGCATTCTCTCTTGCTGTGTTCCTGCCAGCGTGGTAAACACCCTGACAAAGGCAACCGAAGGCAGGAAGGGTTTATTTGGCTCACAATTCCGGGTTACCGTCCATCACTGAGAGGAAGTGAAGGCAGTGGGGACTTGAAACAGCTGGTCTCATTGCAGCCAAGGTCAAGAGCATCGAGCAATGAATGCAGACACGCCCGCGCTCATCCCACTCAGTCCTCATCTACTGGGTTAAAGCCACGCACCGCCACGCCAGCTTCAAAAGAGGGCTACCTAAGGCTAGGACGATGTGCCTGTTAGACCTTTCCAACTGTGGCTTCACCCAAAATAAGACCCTGGAGCATTGCCCTAGAACAGGGTGCACCCAGTGTGTGCAGGAGGGAGGCAGAGGGATGACATCACCCCATCAACAGGCATGTTTTATATAGTGCCTCCCTGAGGGAGGGGAGAGCGAGGGAAGGGTGAACCATTACCCCACAGACTAGAAGAGCTGGGTGGTATCCAGGCAGCCATAAGGGTGGAAACCTCACTTAGCTGGGCCTTCCCTGAGCAAAGGCAAGAACGTGTCCCAAGGAAGGAGAAACTTACACCAGAGGCTTGTGAGGGGCTGGCTTCCTGGTGTCTGGTGCTGCTGAGTTTGTCAGCTGTGAAGAGGCTGCAGGCCCTGCAGAGGGAGTGAACACACAGATGGGGGGGGTAAGGGGGTGGCAGGGAGGGGGTACTGGGTTATTCTGCAAATAACAAATAAGAGCAAAGCTGCCAGACATTGTGGCACAACCCTTTAACCCCAGCACTAGGGAGGCAAAGGCAGGTGGATCTCTGTGAGTTCGAGGCCAGCCTGGTCTACAGAGTGCATTCCAGACCAGTCAGAGGCACAATAGTACAATAGAGTTTCTTCTCTCTCTCTCTCTCTCTCTCTCTCTGTGTGTGTGTGTGTGTGTGTCCTAGAACTCGACTAGCTATGTAGATATTTAAATAGCTACTTATTTTTATTTTGTGTGCATTGGTGTTTTGCCTGAATGTATATCTGTGTGAGGGTGTCAGATCCCCCCTGCAACTACAGTTATAGACAGCCATGAGCTGCCATGTGGGTGCTAGGAATTGAACCCTGGTCCCCTGGAAGGGCAGCCAGTGCTCTTAACCACTGAGCATCTCTCCAGCCCCTCAATTGCATTATTTAGAGAGAATTTCTCACTAATCTGCCTAAGCTCACCAGCCAGTGAGCTCCAGGGCTCTGCCTGTCTTCATGGCCCTAGTGTTAGAGTATACAGACATGCTGTACCCAGACTTCATGTATGTTCTGGGGGATCAAACTTGGGTCCTTGTGTGTTTATTTTTGTGTGTAAAACACTTGTGTAAATTGTGTGAGTTCTAAATATAGATGCCTTATTATAGTGAATACTTCAATAATCAATATAAAATTATTTATTTATTTGATCTTTCAAGACAGGGTTTCTCTGTATAGTGCTGGCTGTCCTGGAACTTGCTCTGTGGATCAGGCTGGCCTTGAACTCAGAGATTTTCCTGCTTCTGCCTCTTGAGTGCTGAGATTAAAGGATTAAAGCTATGTACCAACAACAACTGTGTTTTGTATTTTAACCAGTCAGTGGTGGTACATGCCTTTAATCCAACCAACTGGTGTTTCTCAGTTCCACATAGCTAACTGCTTGCCTGAGGGCCAGAGCTGAGAGAATCATATACCTGTGGGCTGCTCTGGGCCCAGCTCCTCCACAGGTGGCAGGGCAGATGGTGTTGAAGGACTTGAGGGCAAAAGTCTGGGGGCTGTCCTGGATGCTGTGGCTGCCTGGGAGTGTCTGAGCAGCAATCCCGAATGGTGAAGGGATTCAGGTGTTGAGGATCCAGCCTCTGAGCTGTGTGTGTCTGCAGATGAGATCGAGGCGTGCAACACGCTGTTTGTGCCTGGGTCGTCGTCAGTGGCCAGGTTCAGTTGACCACCATCCTTCACTCCTTGCTTCAGGTTTGCAGTTTGAAGATTTATTGGGCAAATGTCAGTGGGGCCAGTGGCCAGCTCGGCACTCATTACTGGGCCTGGCTGGGGCGGGGCCCATGGCGATGACTGCTCAGACGACAAGCCCGGTGGTGACTCCACAACCCTCCTGCCCTTGGATTCAGGTGTCTGCACTGGTGGGGAAGCTGGGGACTGGCTGTCCTTTCTGTCCTCTTTGGGAGACCCCTGTACATGGGATTGAGAGGAATCTTCATGGTGGTCCCACTGAGCTGGGGGCTTGTGGCCAAGGGCGACCTCTATCTGGCAGTACACTTCTACCCTTGGGAAAATCACTCTCTTGCTGGGAGAGTCAAGGTAAGCAGCATCTAGGAGAAACCACAACACAGCAGGTTTGATGTGCACAGAGTCTATTATGAGGGTGTGTGCAAAATCTACATAAATATGATACTTGGCTCGAAGTGTTGTCCCAGTGCTTGGCAGCTGAGGCAAGAAGACTATAATGGCAGAGAACAGATTAAGGGGGATTTGGCGATGAGGAAGTCAGGAGGTGGGGATCATGAAAGGGCTCCAGGAAACTTTTCTTTTTAGAGACAAGGTGTCTCTAAAGGTTGAGGGTCTAGCCTCAACCTTATTACATACCAAGGATGACCTTGAACTTCTGATCCCCAGTTCTGGGATTACCTCATATACCACACTGCTAGGTTTATGAAGTTCTGGAAATTAAGCCTAAGTTTTCACAAATGCTAGGCCAGCACTAACAGAGTGTAGCCTCTTCTGAAAACCGTGGGGGTAAGCGATGGTGTATGTGTAGGAGGACCTTATCTGAGGGAGTGGGGAGGGGAGCGGGGGAGGGGGGTCAGTGGCTTCCCAGCTACAGGAGCATCTGGTGGATGAGAGCTTTTGCAATGGAGGGAGGAGAAAACGGGAGTGGGGTCCAGGTGGCACCATTCTGTGTGGGAGGGACTGCTTCCCCTGAAGCGAACAGAGAACAATCGTAGCGTGGCTCTGGGTACCAGCAGGAATTTCCCAGTAGCTCCATGGGAAATCCAAGAGGCCTTGCATGAGGAAGTGACTGGTGGGTGTGCACTGGCACCATCTGGCGGACGATACGCACATCACACGGCACCTGGGAAGAACCCTGGCTTCCTTGGCAAGAGGACAGACACCTTCGAAGGTAGTTAGGCTGTGACCCAGGTGCGGCAGGTATGGGGAAAGGGAGTCGCCTCCAAAAACCTAAATATCAAATCATAGGATCTTCCTGACCTCAAGCCCCTGACAAGCACCAACCATCACCCAGAGAGAGGAGGACTCCCAGGTGGTGGCCAAAGGCTCCAGGCTCTGGGAGAAACAGGTGCGGGACTCTGATGAGAAATCATCCATGTGCCTTTTGTACTCAACAGTGAAACAACCACTGCCATTGCTTCCCCCACCTTTACAGATGGGGAAACTGAGGCCATAGCATGAAGGTGTGAGGAGCTAGGTACAAGTCCTTCTTTACAAAACTGGCAAGACTCTGACACAGGAAGTGCCCCCCCAGGGGTGGGCTTACACAGCTTGAGGGCGGGTCTGGGAACTTCTCTCTCTCTCTCTCTCTCCCCTCCCTCCCATCATTCTGTTTTCTCAAGTCCCTGGATGCCTGGATGGGAGTAAGGAGGACACAGGACAAAGTAAGTAAGAGGATAGGGGGCTGGAGAAGCAGGAAGCAAATCTGGAGAAAGAATATATTTCTAGTATACATTCTAGATATATTATAGAAACTACCATTCAACCCTTAGTTTCACTCCAAAGTATTTTTTTTCAAAGACTTTTTTTTTTTCTTTTTCTTTTTGGAGTCAGGGTTTCTCTGTGTAGCTCTGGCTGTCCTGGAACTCACTCTGTAGACCAGGCTGGCCTCGAACTCACAGAGATTCTCCCACCTCTGCTGGGATTAAAGATGTATGTCACCAATCAGCCCCAAGGTTTTGTTTTGTTTTTTTAAGTCACAGAGATGTATAGTCTTGTCAGAATAAGGAATACTTGGAACTCAAAGGCATGAAGCCAAGTGTTCCATGAGACTATGATTTAAAAAAAAATTATACAACTACCCCCAAAGATCACACGGAGAAAGGGAAAGGCTGGGCCAGAGTTAGGTAAGCCCCCTTTTCCCTGGACTCTCTCCATCTGAAACTGCACTCTAAGGAGTTCACCCTGAGTACAGACAGGTCTTTTGTCTCTCTCCCCAATGATGCTCTCCACACCTTCATGGCCTTTGAGCATTGAGTCCCTGTACTTACTCTATTCATCTGATAAAAACTACAGGAGACATGGGTTGGGTCCAGACCAGCAAAGGACAATGGTTCTTCCCTTTGGTTTCCTGATCAGTATATCTAACTAGTCACACACAGGGTCCTGAGAAACCCAGGCTGGTCTGGAAGAAGCTATATAGCCAAGGATGACCTTGAACTTCTGATCCTCCAGCCTTCTGGGTGCCAGCATCAACCATCAACTCATGAGCCACCCCTGTCTTATTTGGTGCTGGGGATTGAACCCAGGGCTTTGGGCATGCCAGGCAAACACTCTACCAACTGAGAGCTGCATCTCCAACCCTGGCTTTGTTTGTAATTTCACAGATATGTGTTGAGAAATATCCTAAACACTGTCTCATATGTCAACCGGCAGCCACAGTGGCCTGTCTTTGACAGGGCAGACTGCTGGGTCTCTTCCATTCCCACCCCTGCCACACCCATTGCCCTCCCTTCCTTGGGCTTCAGCTACTCACTCAGCCTCCGAAGGTATGAAACCGCATCATCATATCCCCGATAGTAGTAACCCTGCAGGATCTAGGTGGTGACACAGGAAAATGAACGAGGCTGCAGCCACCAAGAGAGTCACTGCCCCACCCACAGCCATGCTCTACATGCTGCCGTCTCCCCCCCAACCCCTCCAAGGCCATATCAGCAAGCCCTGGGCTGTACTCCTCAGTCTACCCAGGAGAGGAGCTGGGAAGCAATTGTTGCATGGTGGGAGTGATGGCATGTCAATCACCAACCTCCCCAGTAGGAAACAGGCGGGGCATTTCTGGAGAACCAGAGGTCACACATCTGGGTCATAGGAAGGATAGAATCTGGGGTCTGGGTTCAAGTCCTAGCGCTACCCTTCATTGGCTATGTAGTTGTAACCCCTCACGGTCTTACTTTCTCCATCTGTCAAATGGGGATAGTGATGGTATCTTTGCAGAGGGTGTTGAGAGGGGTGCGTGAGAAGTCCCCACTACAAAGCTCTTTCTGAGGAGGACTGAATTGGGAACATTTTGTCTTTGCTGATCACAGACTGCCCCAGGATTTTGTTTGTCTTGAAACAGGGTGGCATGTAGCTCAGGCTAACCTCAAACTCCATAAGCAGCTAAGGATGATTTAAACTACTGATCCACCTGCCTCCATTCCCAGTACTGGGATTACAGATGGGCACCATTGTTCTAGGTTTACACCGCACTGGGATCACACCCAGAGCTTCAAGCATGGTAGGCAAGCCCTCTACCACTTAAGCTCTGTTTGTTTGTTTTTGGCAACCCTTTAAACATGGCAAAACCCTGACCCTTTGTGGGGAGAGACACAGAACCAAGGGTTCCCTCTATTCTAGGTCCCATGCCAACCCTCCTGTCTCTCACCACCAGGTCTGGGGGGAACAGCGCGTGTGTCATGCGGGTGATGTTCTCCAAGGAGAACTGGAAGGAGAAGTTGAACATTCGGAAGTCGTGGAAGATGGCAGGGCAATCTCTTGGACAGATATCCTGCTGGCTGCTGAAGGTGGAGATGGTGATAGAGTCTGTCCAGAATGCACAGGGCTGCATGCTTGTGAAGCCTCCATCAATATACCTCTGCAGGGAAGAAGACAGACGCTCCATCAGAGAGGACACGGAGGGACCAGGGCTATGGGATAGCAGGGCCACAAGACGGTCTGGGACCAGCCTTAAGGCTGAGGTTCCCAAGATAAATGAAGGGTGGTGTGGAGCAAGGTCTCTTGCTGTGTCCAAAGTGGCCTTGGGGTGTGTCACCACCGCCCGACCTGGCCTCAAAAACTTCTTTATTTTATTTTATTTTTGATTTTTTTTTTTTTAAACAGAGTTTCTCTGTGTTGATTTGGAGCCTGTCCTAGAACTCACTCTGTAGACTAGGCTGGTCTCAAAGCCACAGAGATCCACCTACCTCTGCCCCCACCCCCAGTGCTGGGATTAAAGGCGTACACCACCACTGCCCTGCAAGCTTTGAAACTTCTAATCTAAAGCTCTGACCCTGGACTCTTCTCCCTCTATTGTCCAGGTGCTGCTGGCCTCGGTGTGGTGTTCATCGCCCTGAAACTCAGGAGACCATGGCCCTCCTGCAGCTCACAGCACACCCACCTCCAACCCCTTTCTTTTGGTGGTGGGGGTGGGGACCCTGTTGGCTTCCTCACCTATGAACTGAGCAAGAGATGACCAGTACAGTAACCACTCACAGCCTCACTTTCTCCAGGGAGTCTCTGTATCCCACGGGAGCCTGAAAAAGACTTGCTGGCAGAGCATAATGTCTGAACCAGGGGATACATCCCCACTCCTCAGACTAGCCAGGAGACTGGTCACCCTGAGGCCAGCCAGAGGTGCAGAATCTTGGCCTGCCCAGATCTACTGAAGCAGAGTCCCCATTAATGTAGGACCTTACCTCAGAGTTCATCACGGGCACATGGCAGCCTGTGACCACTGGCCCAGATGGCCCTGAGGGTCTCCTCGGTCAGAGTCTCATGTCCCTGTTTTCTGGGGTCTGTATTCTGCACACTGCCTTCTGTGAGAACCTGGCAAGCCTTGGAACTCTGACTTGCTTGGACCTCTGCAGGGTGGGTGGGTCTAGAGAGGACCCTGAACCAACTAGAGGAGGCTCCCCTTAAAAGCCCAGGCATCTATCTACATTAGGAATTCTGAGTAGAAAATGTTCCTCCCATTAAGATGCCCCAGGGTCTCAGCTTACCTAATCACTTACCTCACCTCGGTATGTTGGGGGGATGAAGCCACAGTAGACAGGAACGAAGCAGCTGCAATACAGGGCCTAGGGAGAGACAGGGATGAGATACCACAGGCCCTGGAGTGGGTGGCAAGGACACACAGGTGACCCCTGACCTCTACTAGTCCCCAGTTCCTTAAAGTAAGGGTACAGGCCTGGGAAACAGTCTACATTCAATTCTCATGCTATCCTTAGTAGGGTTCTTGGTGGTGTACTGGGTTAGTCAGACCCAGTATCCTAAAGAGGGGGTGGCCTTGACATATCCAGGGTCCTCGGCTAACCTGGGGCTGTCCTGGACCAGGCCCTGGCCTCAAAGGAGGCTGAGAAACCATCTTTGGGAGTGCGCAATAGCAGACAGGTGAGGCGGGTGGGCATGGCTGCTGTGGCCCCAGAGGAGACCAGGTAGGGTGGGATGAAGGGACAGGAGTCTGGTCAAGTGGAGGACACTGGGCTGGAAGTGAGAAGTAATAGCTCACAGCAGATGTGGCCTGGTTCGGGTGTGGTCGGTCTGTGGTCTCATGGTAAGAGTGGAAGTTGGGAAAGGCTGGGAGGGAGGCAGCAGCCATGGGCGTGAGGGGCACCCCTCCAAGAGTGGAGAACTAGTCATCCAAGGGACCTGCTGCTTGTTCACCCCAACTCCAGGGCTGGGCTAGGCTTGGGGAGGCTGGGAGGTAGGCACAGGACTGGGGAGAGGAAGAGAGTGGCGACAGCAGATGGAAAGTCTCATGAAGGAAAGCTGAGCAGAGCGAAGCAAGGATCCATTCAGGGGTCATGAATTGTCACTAAAATCTATATCCAAGAGCTCGACCCTGTCACAGTGCGTGTGAACTTTGCTACGTGGGAAACCGTGGAGGGAAAATTCAACCATTTGTTTATTTACTTATTTTTGGTGTTTTTGAGACAGGGTTTCTCTGTGTAGCCTGTTTGTCCTTGAACTCATTCTGTAGATCAGGCTGACCTGGAACTCACTCTGAAGATCAGGATAGCTTCAAACTCACAGAGATTGGCCTGCCTCTGCCTCCTCAGTGCTGGGACTAAAGGCGTGCACCACTGCAGCCTGGCTTTTTATTTTTAAAGATTTATTTTATGTGTAAGAATGTTTTACCAACATTTATATTTGGGTGCAACTTGCATGCCTGGTGCCTGTGGAGGGGGGATAGATGCCCTGGAACTGGAGTTACAGATGGTTGTGAGCCACCATGTGGGCACTGGGAACTGAACCCAGGTCCTCTGGAAGAGCAGCTAGTGCTCTTTAACACTGAGCCATCTCTTCAGCCTTATTAATCCTATTAAAAAGTATTTGTTTCATGCAGAGGTGGTGCACACCTTTAATCCCAGCACGAGGAGGCAGAGACAGGCTGATTTCTGAGTTTGAGGCCAGCCTGGTCTACAGAGTGAGTTCTAGGGTAGGGTAGCCAAGGCTACACAGAGAAACCCTGTCTTAAAAAACAAAACAAAATAAAATAAAAATTATATTTATTTATGTGGGGGGGGGGGCGCACACGCCCTGTGTATGAGGCCTCATAGACATGGGGCCAGAAAAGGTCAGATCCCTTGGAATTCTCTGGAGCTAGAGTTACAGATGGTGATGAGCTGCCCAATGTGGATTTGATGACAAACTTGGGTCCTCTTCAACAACAGGTGTTCTTAAAACAGCCCCCACCTTTCTAGACAGGGTCTCCTGTAGCTCAGGCTGGCCTCAGCCTTGCTGTGTAGAGTGGGTGGACCTTCACCACCTCTGCTTATATGTGGGGTTGGTACCCAGGGCCTCCTGCAAGCTAGGCAGACACTAGCAACTGAGACAGCCCCGGCCGGCTGGTAATCCAATCTCTGTCAAGGCTCCTGAGGACAGAGTGGGGGCATAGGTACTGTTCCTCATCCTTTCTAAAACTGGGGTACACTGAGATCCAGGTCTGGAGGTCTCCGGACTGTGTGTGTGTGGGGGGGTGGTCACCACTAGGTTTCCAAAGCCCCAGATTCATCCCAGAGGGTAAAGAGGGGAAGGGGACATTGTGTAGAAGTCGCTGGGCTGGTGGCAAGCTCTGGCTGGGTGTGGGCCTCTCTGTGTTACCTCTTGGGGAACTACTTCTGGCAGAGATGCAGGCATGAAGGAAGCGAAGGGCCAGGCAACAGAGAAGGGAAGAAGGGGGAAGGCTGGGACAGAGCTGCTGCTCAGGGCTGTCCAGGTTCTCCCCCCCCCCCCCGCCCCAGGGTGGCACATCCAGGGCCTTGCCTCGATGAGTTCTTCCTTGGACGTGTACTCGGAAACCACCACGTTCTCTCCATCTGTGACTCGGGTGAGGCTTACATGCAGCTTCCCGGTAGCGAACTTGTAGGAGTCCTCGGGCAGCACGTTGTATAAAAACTGTCGCATCATCTGAACCATCTTGCAGGATGGGGACAGAGGTCCCAGGAATGACTTCTTCACCTCAGCCAGGCCCATATTCAGCACCCTGAGGTACTCCTCTGTGGAGGGGAACAGAGGGGAGACACCTTTAGCCAGCGGGGCGGGAGTAACAGGGACCTCAGCAACATCACTGTTTCACCCCACAGCTCTCAGTGATGACATCTGGGATCCAGAAACCCGGGGGACTCAGGAACAGTCCTGCCATTGTGGATAAGACAGAGCCATGAAGGAGGAATCCCAGGCCCCCACAACTAGGGACCTGGGTGTCCTGCTTCTGACCATGTGTAGCCACACAACAGAAACTTTCAGTGGCTAAAAATAATTTTCTCCCTGCAGAGTTTCCCCAGCCTCCTGTACCTGTGCCTGGGCTCTGCTACCAGGCTGTGTTTTGAGAGTCCTCTATGCGATTCCTACACTCAGAGGCCACATATCCTTGGCAAGCCTCACCCTCACTGAGTAGCAAAGGATGACCTCAAACTCTTCATTGTACTGTCCCCTCAATAGTGCTAGGATTACAGCCTATGCCACCATGCTGGTTTATACTGTGCTGGGAAGAGAAGCCAGGGTTTCATCCATGCTGGGCACGAACTCTGACAACTTAGCCATATGTGTATGTATGTGCACATACCTGTGCCCACTGAAGCTGGAAGAAGGCTCCCCTAGAGCTTGGAGCCTTCTGACATGACTGCTGGGAACTGGAGTTACGTCCTCTGCAAAAGCAGCAAGTGCTCTTAACCAACGAAATCATCTCTCCAGTCCCGAAAATATCCTTTTTTTCTTGGTGCCAGGGATTGAACTCAGGGCTCTGCACAGTTACGCCTGTGCTTGACCACCGAGCTACACCACCAGTCCTTAAATGTCTCATATGGAAAATTTTGCTTCGGAGTTAGTGTCATGAATATGTAACAGGGACTTGAGCAGTCATGAGCTCTCTGTGGTGGGAGGCAGCTAGTGGAGGTTGCATAAGCGCTTCTGTCAACAAGATCGGTGTGCGTGGGCGGGAAGGGCCAAGGCTTTCCAGCTTGGAGAGTCTGCATTCTGAGTGCCTTGCAATCCATCCATAGCAGACACACCGAGAAGGTAACTGATTTGCCAAAATCACACACAACAATTTGGAGACAAAACAAGAGGATAGTTTATTCCTGTCACATTTTATAGTTCTCAGATTATACATTACTGGCCTGATCCTGGAGACCACGATACCTAGTGTTGGAGTACCATTGTATAGATATGGAAACCGAGGCAGGGAATGTGTCTTGCCTGAAGGCAAACAGGCAGGAAATGTTAGTTTAATGTTGTTGTTTCAGTTTTTTTTTTCTGACTCCAAACTATCCCTAACACCCAGACCACATCTGCATTAAGTAGTAGGGACCCCATACTTCTCCATAAACACAAATCTCTCATGCCCCTTCCTGGGAATAGGAAGCCTGGCAATTTTCAACCTTAGCATGCTTAGGCATGAGCAAAGAGCATCTTCCCTTGAGGAGGGTGGTGGCCAGCTGGCAAGGTGTTGCTGGCAAGTGGTTACGAAGTTCAGGCCTCTGAACTGAAGTCTCATCTGGAAGACAGGTTAGAATGGAGACGTGTGCTTTGGGGAATTGGTTTCACATGGCCCAGGCTGGTCTCCAACTCACACACCATGCAGCCGATAATGACCTTAAACTCCCCATCCCCCTTCACCTAATTTCCTCAGGTGAACTGTTTCAAAACTGTTTGCTCGTTATGTATGCATGTGCCTGCACAAGTTAGCATGCACCATGTGTTTGCAGATTCCCTCAGAGGTCAGAGTGGTGATAGATCCCCTGGAACTGGAGTTACAGGTAGTTGTGAGCCCCCAGGGGACACTGGGAATCAAACCTAGGGCGACCGGGAGAGCAGCCAGTGCTTTTAACCGCTGCCATCTCTCCAGTCCTGTTTTTAAACTCATGACAGGCTGAAGGGAAGGACCTCCTCTTCAGCCCTGCTTCAGCCTGTTCTACATGTCCGGAGAATAGCTGGAGTAGCTGGAGCAGCTGGAGCAGCTGGAGCAGCTGGAGCAGCTGGAGTAGCTGGCGGTGCCAGGGGATGAGACAAGGAAATGTGCTCTGTCACAGGAAGCACACCTGATCATGTGAGAACACACACTAAACAAGTCAGATAACAGGCAGGTATGTAGCCACAAGTCTACTGCCAACCCAGTACTCAGGAGGTGGAGGCAAGAGGGTCAGGAGTTCGAGGATAGCTTGAGCTACACAACACTGCCTCAAAAACAAAACAAAACAAAAAACAAACAAACAAACAAACAAAAAACCAAAACAAAACAGAAATGCAGAAACATAGAAAGAAAAAGAAAAATCTCAGAATTCCTCTACCTAGAAATTAATGTTTGGCCTATTTCCTTAGACCATCTATTTTGTTTTCACTCTCACAGGGAGTTGTGCTATGTATCACTGAATGTACTTGAAGCTTACTTTTTAAACATAATATATGTACGTGCCTTGCCAATGAACACCTACTTATTACTGTTTACTTGTGAGTGTGTGTGGTGTGTAGATCCCTCCCTTCTCATGTGCACATAGAGGCCACGATCTCTCACTGAACCTGGAGCTCACAGTCTGCACCAGACTAGCTGGCCATGCAGCCCCGGCCGGGATCCTCTTCTCTTTGTCTCCCTGCCCCCCACACCCAGTGCCCAGTTACAAGTTCACACCACCATCCTTAGCTTGAACCCAGGTCCTCAAGCCTACACAGCAAGCTTTTTACCCACAGAACCATCCATCCCCTATCCCTGTTTTTTAGTGTATGTGTGTGAGTGTGTGTGTGTGTGTGAGTGAGTGAGTCGGTGTGAGAGTCTGTGTGTGTGTGTGTGAAATCATTCTGACCAAGGCAACACATGGAAGGAAGGGTTTGATTGGGCTTGCAGTGGAGGGATAAGAATATGTCATGACATGGGAACACGGCGTGGCAGCAAGTAGCAGAAATGGTGGCTGGGGCAGAGCAGACAGCAGAGAGAGAGCTCACTGGGAGTGGTCAGGCTTTAGAAACCTCACACCAATCCCTGTGATATGTGTCCTCCAGCAAGGCCAGCTTACACCTCCGGAACCTACCCAAAAAAACAGTTCAAACAACCTGGGACCAAGTATTCAAACATCTGGTTCTATAGGGAACATTCTCATTCAAGCCACACACACACACACACATACCACATACATACACCACATATACCACATACATACACGTACACACACAACACATACATACACACACAACATACATACATACAAATACCACACACACAGCACATACATACATACATACACACACCACACACCACATAAACACACACACCACATACATATACACACACCACATACATACACACACACACCACATACATAATACACACACACACCACATACATACATACCACGCACAGACATACATGCAGGCAAATACCCCTAAAACACAAAAAGATGAATTAAAATATATATACTAGGAGGAACAATTCACGCTAAGTTCTCTGCCCATGCCCTGGATTCTTCTTTTTAGGACAAATTCCTAGAAGTGGGAATGAGAGATCAAGGGTCTGCAAGTCTCAAGCACAAAGTGCTTTTATAACTGTGGCTTTAGAACTAGAACAGGATTCATCCCGAGTCGGTGCCCACCCACCCCATAGGGAGGGGTGTCTCAGGGATGAAAATAGTATTGACATTTCCTGGGTCCTTACATCTGAAAACGGTTCAGTCTGGGAATCAGCTGTACACCACCCAGACACACAGCCAGGGATGGAGGGGGAGGCTGTCTGGTTTCTCTCAGCCTGGCATTTGGTTCAAAATTCATCCTTGCTGCTCAGTGTTGGTCCTCGGGGACAGACTGTCTCTCCCTCGTCTGGCGCTCATTTTCTATCTGCCTGGTGATGGGAAGACAGAGGGACAGCTAACCCTGACAAGTCTCCTGTGGTGGAGAATCAAGCACCCGCAGGTGTGATGGTTCACGCCTGTCACCCCAGAGCTCAAGAGGCACAAGCAGGAGGACTGCTTCTAAGGCCAAAGTGAATATGCTGTACGCAGCGAGTTTTCCAGCCGTGCTCACATGGTGAGACCCTGTCTCAGACGATGAAAGAGAGAGAGAGAAAGAGAGAGAGGTTTTTCAGTGTAGCTCTGCTATCTTGGAACTCTGTCTCAAAACAGAGTTTTGTTCAAAAAACAAAAAAACAAAACAAGACAATAACAAAAAACAACAACAAACCCCCTAATGTGTTGAGTTATGAGACAGTTTGAAAGCTACCTGCATACAGAATGCACTCAGTATTGGAGTTGCCAGGAATTGCCCAAATGGTCAGGCACCAGGCTCCCACTGAACATGGCCTTCCCTGTATCCTTACTAGATGTAACAAAGCGGGGGCTGGTGAGATGGCTCGGTGCTTAAGAGAACTGGCTGTTCTTCCAGAGGTCCCAGATTCCATACCCAGCACCCATATGGTAGCTCACAACCATCTGGAATCTCTGTTCCAGTGTATCTGACGCCCCCTCCTGGCCTCCATGGGCAGTTCCCATGTGTGGTGCACAGACACACATGCAGACAAAACACCCATACAGGTGAAAATCCATACATTTACAATAAAATAAATTAAAATACAGGGGCACAGTATAAGCATGACTGAGAAGGTGTGCTCACAGAGTGTCAAGGCACAGGGCCAATCTGGCAACATGCCTCTTTTATGGGGAAAAGCTACAGGATTAGCTTGAAAAAACTTGGGGGCTAGAAAAATCACTGAAGGGGAAGATAAAAAGATAATTTGATGCACGTGTATGTTATTTTATTAAGTGGGAAATATTTACCCCCTTCCCAGGAGCAAAGAGGTCTTACTAATCCTCAGTATTCCACACAGTGTCTGGAATCCAGGCAGACACTATTAACTGAATGCATACATAGATAATGAATGAATTAGTGAACTCCAGAAATCAAAAAGGGACATTGAGGCCCAAAGAGATGAATAACTATTCAAGATGACTCAGAGTTAAAACTTAGGTCTGTCTTCCTTTCCCCACACAGAGGAGTAGAGGCACTGGAGATAGAC